CATGAAATTTAAGTGCAATGAAATGTAAAAATTTCATGTCTGTCTCACTTCTTTGCTGATAGGTATACTTGGTTCTTCTGCAATTAGTAAATTTGTCGTCTTGTGCATTGATTTGAAATGAGAAATTAGTTCTATCAATATCATAAATTTGAAATGAGATTGTATCATACGAGATTATGAGAAATTAGTTCACTGATTTATGTGTTGTACAATTGTACTATTGTTTGAAATTTTGAATTACGAATTTTAATTTACGATCACTAATTGTCGACGTTGACCGGTCAACGTCCGCCCGGGCTGAATTTCAATGCTGGATCCGTTCTTGGTGATGGTTAGATTGTGGTGGCATGATTGTGGGTGGGGGGTGCGTTTGTGATCAATTTTTTGGTTGATTGTGACCAATAATTAATATATGATCTAAAAAATGTGATCGAGACTTACAATTTATTAAGTTGTAACAGAGAAATAATTTATGACCAATTAATTAGATAAGTTGTGACCGTAAAATAAGTTGTGACTTATAAAATTTGTGACTTATGATCGATAAATAAATTGTGACTTATAAATTTTTTGATTTGTGAACATGAAATAATTTGTAACCTATAATTTTTTTTATTATGATCGAGAAATAATTTGTGATCAATTAANGTGAACATGAAATAATTTGTAACCTATAATTTTTTTTATTATGATCGAGAAATAATTTGAGATCAATAAATTTATAATTTGTGATCAAATTGTATAAAATTGTGACCTTAATATATTTAATTAATAAAATATATGTTCAATTAATTAGTTTATAAATAAATTTTTCGAAAATCTGATTTTTGAAATTTTAAACCTTACTTTTAAATTTTGAAATGTATCATACTTAATCTCTTATATATGAATTTTCTCCTTCTATCAATGTTGTATCATGAAGAAAAAATAAATCCAAAATGTTAGATAAAACATAAATTTTTACAGGTCCACTAAATTGATTTCATCTTTAGATGTTTCTTTCAAGATTTATTTGTTGAGCTTGAAATATAAATAAATTTAGTTCATTTTTTTTCGATTAAGCCAACCCTTCCAAAAAGTCCATTACCACTAAGAAAATGGCAAGAAATTAGAATCCAAGACGATTTACTGATAATTTCTTTCTTGTCTAAAAGGATTTGAGTTTTGATATTTTCCAAGTACAATTTACAAGGCTAAAAATTTATTTCTTATCCAACTCATCGTCCTCCTCGACTTTAACTTCCTCGAATGTTACATGATCCGGAGAAAATTCAGGAGTCATAGGCATTGTTGCTGGATATTCAATCGGAGAATCGAGTGCCACGTCATCTTTTTCAAATTCGACGTCATCTACAAGAAACTCTTCTTTTGTTCTTTCATATGTAGTCTCGTTCACAACACACTTGTTTGTAATGCTTTGTTTCATATAAGCCACAAATTCTTCAGCTTGATCACATGCAGCTTTGAACAATTCATATCGTTGATTAAAGTTTTGGATAGCAACATCACCAACTTCGCCCTTTTGACCACCAGAAGTTTGAGTAGCCTCAAGAAAGCTTGAGGTTGCATTAACAAACTCTTCGTATGCATTCTCCATAGAATCTACAATTTTGTCCATCTCCTTGCAAAATAGCCAATTATTTTTAAAATAATAAATCTCTTATTTGGACAGTAAAGCAATGAACAGTGGCATACAT